CAGAAAATAGACAGCAGGCTCCGGCATCCTGCACAGGAAGCCGTCCCTCCCACGCCAGCATCTGGAGCTGTCCAAGGTTCTGATCTCTGTGCAGCTAACAGGCCTGTTTGAAATAGAAAACGATTATGGACTTGTATGAAGACTGTATGAAGCACTGTCTATAACATAGTATAGTATAGACATACTTCTGTGTTATAGCTCGCTTGTAGCCCTGTAGGAATATAATTATAAGCACTCATAAATACTTACAGACTATAACACATAAAAAGCATTTTGTAATTACTTTCATAGAGAGGGAGCATAATACTTCATTTATTATTATACTTCTCATATCGGTAATATATAATGGTAATATTGTAATGCATCATAATCACTCTCATAATTATTAGTACTATTACCATTTCTATTTGTATCCGTGTGGATTGTCACGGTGTGCGTTTGTTTCCTGTTTTAGTGTCGTACCTGTGTTAGCTGTGTGATTGTTTGCTGTGTCCCCGGTGGTCTCCTCCTGCGTCCGGTCCCTCGCCCCGTCCCAGTGTATTTAATCCAGGTGTGTCTCTTGTCGGTTCATTTAGTGTCGTGTCGAATTGTTGGTTTTCCTGGTCTGCGTGTTGCCGGTATTTTGATTTAGTTAAATAGTCTTTATTTCGTACTTCCGTTAACCGTGAGATGGATTTGTAAAACTACTCGACCGTGTCGGCGCCTCCTTTGCCGGTTACCATCACCGACATCCACACTCATGTCGTGGATATTATCTACACAAGTGCGTCAGCACTTACCAACGGGAAGCACCTTTAACAAAAGGAGTCCGTGGACGAGTGAGTCTTAGTTTGTGTGTGTGTTGCATTTCCCTCTTGTTTCCCATCAGAGACTATTACTCCAACTTTTCATTGACCGATTGAAGACATTTCATTAAGGCTGTCTCTGCATGGGCCTGCTTGATAAAATGCCCTCCTCGGCAGCCGGCCGCCCTGGTGTGTGTGGTTGTGTGTGCGCATCTCATTAGCCTTATTTGGGAGTAGTCGCATGTACTTTTTGTCCCGGTATTGTCCATGAAATGGATATTTCTTGCCCCTGCTTGCATGTGTTCATATATTATACACTCTGATGCGAGCCCGCTCTATAATAAGAAACTACGTCCCTTCAGGCTTTTGCTGTGTTTGAGTCACTAGGCCCAGGACGTAATTAATGTCGGGCTTAATTGTCCGACGGGCATCTCCTCGGACCTCGGATCCCACCTTCACCGCAACCCTGACCCCTAATAAGCCCACAGGGACGACCCGGGCGCACTTCGGAACTGGGTCGCGTGAGCAGTATAATTGGTCTGCAAAACGGCCTCACGCGCCCACACTGAGCTCCCAGCTGCAGCGAGGGGAGACACCATCCAACCAACGAAGGGTTTCTTTTTAATGCCAGAAATACTCTTGTTCAAATCCAGAACGTGTAAAAGCGGAACAAAAAATAAATCTATTACCCAAAGGTGTAAACCTCGTGCGACGAACAATTCAATCAGAAAAAGCAACCAAAAAGAAATGTCCCAAACTGCCTGGGGTGCAGAAAGTTAGTAATTCCATAATAAAAGATGTAAAAATAACTAGTATGGATCTCCAATCCTATTCTCCCGTGCCACCGTTAGAGTGTCACACAGCTGCAGTCTACTGTAGAAGACTACAAGCGTCATCTCGTCGCTGTCACACACAAAGCTGTTGACAAATGAGCCCAACATTTTTTTCTTGCCATGAGAAATTTTAATTGCAGAGAACTCTTTGAGAAGAAAGTGTTAAGAAGACCAAACCGAACAGAGCCCCCCCACCGTACCCTCGTTTGCCCTTTTCACTCGCACATTACGCATCCTCTCTGTCCTACGTGTGGGAAAGGCCACACCATACATCCCTGTCTGCTCGTACAGCTCGCCAATAAGAAGCGAAAGTGGCTCCCAAGACGCCTAAGTGAAATTTAGGGGGGTATCAGAGCTGTAGTGGGAGGGGGGGCACATTATTGACAAGCAGTCACCAGTGAGTGATGTCCCACGTCGCTGTAGTTGCATTCAGGAATCTAACAAGGGCTATTAATTATGTGTGCGGTTACAACAAGGGGACCAGGGTTTAATGGATCAATCCGCGCGCACTCCATTTCCCATTGGGCGCATGGATTTCCTGTCATTGTCATGAAGACTTTTGCGTCAGCAGAGGTCCCCCTCTCCTGGACTTCCCTCCCCAATGAAACAACGGTCCTGATGCTGTCTCTAACAGAACCTCCATTATGTTTTATTGTTCTGTCGGCTCGTTTTTGCCTCCTAAAGACAGATAGTGACAGAGCACTTTCTTGCCTGGTTAGCTGTGTTAGCTGATTCTAACAAGAAATACACAGGCAGTTAGTGATCGTTGTATAGAAGTCCATGCGAAAATGACTTTTACATTACAGGTTATTTAGCTTTTATCCAAAGGGACTTCCGTTAGACGGCGAAAGCGTCGTGTTCAAAGGCTCCCCCAGCGCGTAGATACGGGGACTGAAGCGGATATTTGGCCATTACAAAGTCGCTCTGGTCTGCCGCTGCTACGTTATGCACCGCTCGCCAGGATCGCTCCTCTCGCTCAAATCCTGCACTTCACTGCTCCGGTGCTCTCGTAAGCACCAGAGCCAAAGTTTGTCACGCTCCTTGACAAGGATTCTTGTGAGTGGCCAACTGCCACGCAAGTCCCATGCTGCCGCCGCCGCCGCTGCCGCCGCCACTGCCGCCACCGCCACCGCCGCCGCTGCCGCTGCCGCCGCCACTGCCGCCACCGCCACCGCCGCCGCTGCCGCTGCCGCCGCCACTGCCGCCACCGCCGCCGCTGCCGCTGCCGCTGCTTCTGCTTCCACATAACTGGCAGACAAAAGCGACCGGCTGCCACACTCTGCTGACGTGAATAAAATCAGCAAATGGGCTGATGGCGTGTAAAGACCCTGAAAGTCAAGTTGAAAGGCCTCGTGAAGCTACGGTAATTACTATTTCACTACTGTGTGGTGCAGGTCTGCACGTACAGTGTATGTTTTCTTTTGATGATGTCAAAGCATTGACAGGTCATAGAAAACTCCCACGTCCAGCAGGGTCACCAAGCAGAGCTCTTTTTTCCTTCTTCTTTCCTTTTTCATGACTCAGTGCTGTGTGACTAAGGTAACTTATGTCTGCAGCACACTCACCACTCTATCCACAGTGGGCGCATTCGTCATCTTTCCGGATGGTCATTTCTAAAGTGGTTGCAAACGTAACTGTGGTTGCAGTGACCATATAAACCACTTAAAGATCCGTTTGTCTTGCAAGATTTGAGTTCGGATAAATATTAGGTAAGCCTCAAGATCTTTATATGCAATGCAAGGCCATGGATGTTCACTTGCTGTACCTGCCCAAGGTTGATGTTGAGCCAAGTTTGTACTTTTATCTGGTGGATTTAAAAGCAACATGTTGTCCATCTCTCTATCGTGTCCGTCGCAAATGTGCATATTTGCACATTTGCATATCAGAAAAAAAATCTCGGCAGAACACAATCCCAGTGACTCATCTCTGTTCATGGCCGTGTTCCTAACTGGGGAAGGAGATGTGGCTTTGGGCTGCAGCAGATATTGCAGCGGGAGTGGACGGCGATAAGCCGATGCCTCCCACCCTTGTACAAGGGAACGGAATTCTTGGTCCCGGTGGCCAAGTCTTACACAAGAGGAGAGACTGGCCGCGATGCCTATCACGCCCACAGTGCTGCCGTTCTCCCACTGCTGTCCTTCCCGCCTCACACCGCGAGCTGATTATAGCCCGATTAACTTCTTATTGCTTCCTCAATTCACCGGGAGTTTTTTCTCTGAGAACCACCACAAATCAGTTTTGCCGCGTGAGCTTCGGTTCGCTCCGCCCGGCGCCGGCGTGCCGCAGTACGATCGCGCCGGAAAGGCATGCTGCTGTTAGACGGATGGCACGGGCCTGTTTTCAGCCTAGAATCTTCAAAATGAAACAACACACACTGCCGTTGGAAATTCAGCTGACGTACACGTGTATTTCATCTCTCCTTCCTCAATTATCATTTGAACAGGCGCTGGGTAGATAATTATTTACGTTTGAGTCACTTTCACATTCATACTGTTAAAGCTTTCTGTCGATGCCCCCACAGTGTTCCATGTTTTAGGTTGATGTTTTTTGGGGCCCTCTGAAGTCAAATAATCAGTTTGACAACCTGTGATCCAATTACAACGGTGCTCACCTTCTCTTCCCCTCGTGACACTTGAAGATTGGCTTTGCATCAACAACACATCTGTTAATATTCCAACCTGTCTTTGTTTTCTCTTCTTTTCACTTGATGTATTGCTACTTCTACTTTTACCCATTTCCACAAATCCAGCTCTTTGTTGTCGGTGACGCCACCCGTTAGAACCGCAGTGCAGTTCCTTAATAAAGGTGGAATGCTGATAGCAAGTGTGCACTTTCCGCAGGATTGATGAAGAGCTCCAATCCTGAATTTCCAAATGACTGTAAATGCTACTGAACATGTTCTTCCCAGTGTTCTGATTGAAGTTTTTGCCTTTACTTTAGTATATATTACAGCATGAATAGGAACGTGTTCTAAAGCAAACCGTTCAGACATTCTTCTTGTTCATGTCCCAATTCTACTATTAGCTGCAAAAGAAGAAATACCTTTATCTCACAAAAAACACGGTGGAATGATGATAATGATGATACACCATGGAAAAGGTCCGCTGAGAGATGCATGTGCATTTTAGAATAAATCCTAAACAATAAGAAAAAACATTGCGGTTAAATCTGCAGGTCCACCACCAGCTATCAGAAGCCTACATCTGTCGAGCCTGGCTAATTGCATTTCTCCCACTGTGAGTCTGGCACGCTGTTATGTGAAAGAAGGGCAAAAAAAAAACCCTGGCCGTCACTGTGGGCGACCTCTGGGTGGGCGCGCCCCGCCGTATCTCCCCGCTGCAGATGCTCGCCCTTCAGAACTCTCTCTCTGTTTGTGTTGCAGTGCCGTCGTTCTGGGGCCTGGTGAACTCGGCCTGGAACCTGTGCTCGGTGGGGAAGAGGCAGTCCCCAGTTAACATCGAGACCAGCCACATGATCTTTGACCCATTCCTCCAACCAATAAAGCTGAACACGGGCGGACGCAAGGTAAGGGCAGCGCCAGCGTGCGCGCGTTACTCTCCGTCAGCTCAGCGGACGCCGCGGGCTTTGCTCCCCCTTCTTCTCCCGTTAAACGCTTCACTGTACCAGTGGGGGTGATAGGGCAGCCTGGCCCTGATCGATGCTCCTGGCCCCTGCTTGGTTTGGCACAGAATGTGAGCCCATTTGTCCAAATGAACGCTCAGCTGGAGATAAAAACACAAAACAAGTTCACCTATTCAGAGATCCACAGTGGTTTTGTTCTGGTTCAAGAAGAAAAGCCTCAACTTCATCCGAGGGGCTTTGCAGATGAAAGCCAGCAGCCTAACAGCGGATTAGTCGTGCATATTGTTTGTTATTCTCTCCTGTAGAGTGGAGCACCAAGGACAGCATGCATCCATTCAGTCCGCTGCCATACCATAGCAGCTAATTGCATAGCCTTCACAGAAGGGCGACGTTGCATTGTTGAGATTAATGTCATGATATGTTTATGTTTACAGGCCGGCACTTACGGTACATGGTTTATCTTGAGGCAGTTGGACAACTTATGGGATGCATTGGCGTTCCCCACCTATGGTACATGCTAGACAGATGGTTCATGGACCAACAGTCAACAGTCCTCTTACCCTGAGACCTTTTCTCATTGATATCAATTCTATTTGAGAATAAAATGAGGTTTAATAATTCCTCTTTTTGCGGGTGCCGCTCTGCCGCGGCGACCGCAATGCGATCCAACGCGCTGCATCATTCGCATTGAGGCACTTTTCTTTGCCACTAGGATGAAACCGAGTTGAGAGAGGAGTAAAGAAGAGGCATGTGTTATTTATGCTGCTCGCCACCTTGGGACCGTCCTCGGTACAACTAGTTATCGTTTGCTCATCCAGAGCGGCTCGATGTCGACCTTCTTCTTAAGAGGTGACTCATCTGAGTCCTGTACTGGGTACTGTGGTGGGGAGGGACTTTGATCACGTGCTACATCCTGTCTTTGTCAGGACATTGTCTTTCTCCGCCTCTATTTCCTGTCCATATTTTTAATATACTCCTCCTGGAAATTATAACCCAAAGTCTTCCAAACACGTTTTTGGTGGGACACTGTTAATAGTGGGCAGATACCAACCACGGTGGATTGGACCGCTAGGAGTCCGCTAAGGACCTACAGACATTGTGATCGTCCAACCGGCTACGCCTTGAGTCGGCTCATACGGCAGAAGGAGTCAGTGATGGATGGTTATTGACAGATGGTTCATCCAATCACCTGCCAAGCATTTTACATTTAGGAAGATGAGAAGGATGGTATTGGATCGGTTTCTTGTCCGAATATAAGACAAGAACCCGGTCCAGCAGCCTGAGGGAGGCATGCCGCTATTGGCACACTAGCAACAAGTGTGCTGGACATTTATTGTAAAGTGTTGAAGTGCCCTCCAATCCGCATGCTAAGTGACCTCTTGTCACAGAAATGGTTAGTTGTGAGATCGTTTTTTTACGGTACTTGATATATTGTTTTTGCCCAGCCCGTCCTATTCTTCATCACGTCATTTACTGCTGACGAACAGCATTGTGGGAATAATAATTTCAACTGTCATCCCTTCATAATAACCTCCTTGTGTAGAGCTGTACAACTAACGTTACGTAGTGTCACAATTAGAACATGAAGATGATAAACGTATGGCTGACATGGTGACAAAGAAATAGGAAAATCGCAGTGTGTTTCTGCTTTGCTATGAATTCATTATTATTCACACAGCCAGCAGCGCGCTGTTGGGCAAATCGGTTTCAGGCATCTTCACAAATAACCACTACATTTCTCTCACTGGTCCCTTAACCGTTGCACCGACTCCACCGCGCATTGACAACACACATTAACACCCACACAACCAAGTCCAACTTACTGGTTTATCTCTGGGAAAAAGCCATTTTCTTTGGACTCCTCCTTCCTTCTCTTTCTCTACCCACCCCCCCCTCTCTCTCTGCAGTGGCCTAAATGTAATCTGTTGTGTCTCCATCTCTCTGAGCACCTGAGCTGTCAGCCGGTGAACACGAAGCTGGCTTCACCTTGTCAGTGCTGATTCATGCCGCTCTGTCTCTGGCTGCTTGGCAGCCAGTCAGCCTCGGCCAAACACGCCACCGAGACCGGTAAAGAGCTCCCGCCCCGGCTCGCGTCGGCTCAGCTCGCCGCCTCGACACGGAGAGAGCTTAAGCCCACTTTCTGCCCAGGAGGAAAGCAAAGAGAAGAAGGATTACCCCCCCCCCCCCCATTTATACCAAACACACACACACAATGAGCTCCTCTTTTAATAGATTTGTGTGGCGTCTTGTATGGTGGCTAATGAATAGTCGTAGGAAATGTAATTGACCTCCAAAGAGAAATTTTAATTAATCCAAGGGAAGCATGCAAGGCTACGCGCAATTAATTGACGGAACCACAGTTGTGAAAAAGGCACCATTTATTTAATATTTACCCTGGAAATACCTTGATTTTAATACATTTAATCACTTTGCCTGGGAGGAGCAGACGGGGGGGAGTATTATTGTTTCTTTCCCATTTATTAATAGTGCTTATCAAACGGGACAAAAATGTATTTTGTCCTTTTATATTTTTTACTTAACAAGCCGGGAATCCATTAGCACTAGAACCTGTGGCGTTCCTCACATCTGGAGATGCGGTTGCTTTTGAAGTCCGGGGTCAGTGCAGATGAGCCTTGTGACCAGGTGGTGTATTCCGTAAAGAGGTATTTAGTCCTCATGTCTCGTTGAATGGAATACAGAGTTCAGCAGAAAGTCACACCTCGAAGCTTTTTAATCATGTTTTGGTTACCGAACAAGCTCCAAGATGCGGTGACCGTCCGTGACCTTCTGCAGGGCTTTACTACTCCAGCTTGTGTGTGGCTTCTCCTTATACCTCCACTTCCCTGTGTACCTGATCAAACTGATGAGGACATCTGATAAGCTACAGCGTCTGTGAGTGTGTTGAAGCATGTGTGTGTGTGTGTGTGTGTGTGTGTGTGAGCCATTGGCAGCCCTGAATCTGCCTAATTACAACGAGTGCTGGGTACCACAACAAACAGCCAGCTCTTGGATGGCAGCTGTACTCTCACTCCAGATGAAATAAGCATATCCTCAGCTTCGCCCAGCTGGCCGGCCAGCCAACCAATCAGATATCACTCAAGCAGCCAGAGAGTCGACCAGTCGCTGAATCTCTCCCTGCGCGTGGCATCAATGCTGTGTGTTTAGTAGCAGGTGTGTGCTATCACTCCCACTGTGAATCCGCTGCAGGTCCTGCTGCTTTGCGTTGGGTGTCGTCCAGGTGGGCTCACTGCAGTAGTTTGCAGGTAGCTGAAGGGATCCATGCATGTGCTCCTGGCCCAATAGATAATGTCCCTTTGGCTTTAGCTCACTGAAGCAGACGCGCTGGAACTGTCTGGTGGGGGTTTCACAACTAATGATTTTTTCTTGTCACAAGTGGTGCACGAACAGTTTAATCAGTTTAATCCCATTTGAAGAAGTTAAAGGCAAAGGCCTGTAACTAGGGCTGCAACAACGAATCGATAGAATCGATTGAAATCGATTATTAAAAGCGTTGGCAACGAATTTCATTATCGATTCGTTGTGTCGCGCGATTATTACGTCAATGAGTTGCGGAGATGCGCGCGGAGCAAAAATAAAAATAAAGGCGCCGAGCCGACGTAGAGGAAAGAGCAGCCGGCAGTTGTTGTGAGTCACATGACGCAGGGAGAGACGTCTGTTCGACTAGTCGTCCAAGGTGTGCGAGCGTGGGGGGTCCCGGTCCACGTTGTCCCGTTGGGACGTGAGGGATGTAACAAGCCTCCTGTTTACTCGTCATCCAGCTGATCAAGCTAGCGTTAGCTCGCTAATAACATACTAGCTTGTACTTTTTAATGCTGTCATATATGGTAGTCCAGTGCGCTTGCGCATATACTGTGGGTTATACGGTAGTTGATGTTATGCCTGTAAAGGGAGACAGCATAGCTGCTATGCTAAGCAGCTAGCTTAACAAGCTAGCTAAGCAGCTAGCTTAGCATAGCATGCTAGGTTACTTCCATCTCAACATCTAACGCTGCGCGGCACACAGTCTGCAGAGGACCACCACTGAGTCCCTAAGAGACCACGGTTTGAAAAGGTTCTGGCTAAATGTGGGGAGACCGTCGGCACACAGCCGTTTAAGGATGGACAGGATGCAGGAAACAGTCGCTAGTTCAACATGTTCAACCAGGTAGAATTCTGCCTCCAAGATGATCACAGGGGTATAGTTTTGTGTTTAAAATAACATTAACAATTAAACAACAGTGTCTAAAATACACACTTTTTGAAGTGATTACTCATTACTTTTAGGATCTTTAAGGACTTGACGGTTAACTTTGGCAGCTCCGTGTTAACGGCCACTTTGACCGCTAGGAACCTCGGTGTGACACTCGACAGTCAACTCTCCCTGACTCCCAACATCACTGCGACAACACGATCCTGTAGATACACGCTTTACAACATCAGGAGATTCACTGGTACCGGTGGCTCATCCAGTTCTAAACACTGGTGCTCACGTACCACGCTGTGAATGGATGGGGTTCAGCTTACATCCAGGACCTGGTCCAACCCGACATCCCGACCCGCACTCTCCGCTCTGCATGTGATAAACTGCTTGTTCCTCCTCACTGAGAGCAAAACACTCGACTAGATCGCCACTCTTTGCTGTCCTGCTCCTAAATGGTGGAAGGAGGTCTCTGAAGACATCAGGACCACAGAGAGCCTTCACATCTTCAGACTAAAGACACACCTCTTCAGACTCTACCTCCACTAAAAAACAAATTGTAGCACTTAAATTGTACTTGTAACGCCACTTATCTATAGCAAGTTGTAAATTGGCGTAGTTGATCAAATTGCTCTTCTGAGTTTGTACCCTATGGTTGAATGCACTTATTGTAAGTCGCTTTGGATAAAAGCGTCGGCTAAATGACATGTAATGTAATGTAAAGATGTAGTCTTTAGAAGAAGAA